GAGTAATTGATAATGAGCGACACCTGCACCACTCACCGGTCTCGAGTCCCACGGAGGAGCTCCGGAAGGATAAAAGGAGGAGTGACGACAGTGAGAGAGGACCAGGCCTGGATTTTATTTTGTGTTTTGTGTGCGGCAGTCGTCCGCGAGGGGCTGCCTCTTTACTTTCATTTTGTGTTTGTTTATTTTATTAAAATCTTAAATGTTCGCCGGTTCCCGCCTCCTCCTTCCCGAACTACGAACGTTGTTACAATATCCTTACCAGATGTGTTGTGATACAGAAAGTTGTCCTAACCAGCTGTAAGTCTGTCTTACTTATTTGGCTATTTGGTTTTACTTTCTGTAGCACAGCCCTAATGATGCTTTTTTCAGAAGTAGTTTGGGGTCATTAAGTCTCTTATGCTCACCAAAGTTGCATTTATTTGATAAAAAATACTGGGAAAATGGTAATATTGTGAAATATTATTACAATTTAAGATAACTGATTTCTATTTTAATATAATTTAAAATGTAATTTATTTCTTTGACGGCAAAGCTACATTTTTAACAGTCATTACTCCAGTCTTCAGTGCCACATGATCCATCAGAAATCATTCTAATATACTGATTTGGTGCTCATTAAGCATTTCTTATTATTATCGATGTTGCAAACAGTTGTGCTGCTTAATATTTTTGTGGAAACATATACATTTTTTTTTTTAAAGATTATTGGATTAATAAAAGCATTTATTTTATATGGAAATGTAACATTTTAAATGTCTTTACTGTCACTTTTGATCAATTTAAACTACAAATGTATGTTTTTACTACACATTTATTGATAATTATTGCTGAATAAAAGTATAGTAATTACAATTTCTTAAGAAATATTACAATTATTTCTTAAAAAAAAAAACGTTTAAATGGTAGCGTCCTTAATCTGAACCATTTTTCAATTACTTTAACTGGTCCGAAGGTCATTTTATCAATAGTTCTTCTTAAATGTCTAATGTTTTGCTTGAAAAGTGTTGGTAATTTGTTGCAAGTGTCCAAATGGGAAAGGTCCAGTATGTGTTTTACATTGTGCAGTGTATTGTAAGTGTGATAGCGATCAGACAGAGAAAACCCGTCCATGCACTGTTCTGATTGGCTGTTGTTGCCGCATCGTGGCTGGTTCCGGCACTGTGTCAGTCTTCCTGTGAAATGCATCATGTCACTCTGCCTTCTAGATTCCGTTGCCTATAGTAGCAGACACCCAAATCCCCAAACCGGTTACAGCACATTAACTCTAGCTCATTGCTGTGTGATATACGCTCAGCCTCTTCTAATAGACAACAGCTGTGAATCAGATCACCCTTCCAAATGCACAGCTCTGCAGTTACACACTGTGTTGTAATTAGTGGTCGACGGATATATCGCCAAGGCCGATAAATCGGCCGATATGCGACTTTTTTTAAATATCGGCATCGGCTGATAAGTTTTCCTGTTTGGCCGATGCGTTCGAGGCGCGACGGACTTTTATTTTGACGGCGCTGAGAACGGCAGCGCCTGGGCACACAGTGCTCACATTCTCCCTCTTGTTCGCTGTTGTCGTTAACAGTTCTGTCTAAATACGGATAGAAGTCTGTCTAATAATCTGATAGAATGGTTAAACAAAGGAATTAAAATGTATACAAAAAGTCTTATAACGACTGCTTTTATATTATTAGTAATAGAAAGGCAAACGTTATAATACTTTCTTGTTTGCCGTCAGCATTCAGCAAATACGCATTTATATCATTTAAACAAATCTTTGAATGTCTAATAAACATCCAATATTAAAAACCTTGCAAACTTAGTCTGATCCAGTTGTGAGATCTTGTGAAGTGTGTATGTGTATCCTGCATGATCGCGTGTTCTCTGCGTGACGGTCGGTCCGTGCGAATTGAATGCTGACAGGAGGAGAGTTCAGCTTCACTGGAGACGCGCGATCGACAAACTTTAAACTAGTGATTTTAAATTATGCTGCGCTTTATGCATTTTCCTACTGTCATATTCACGTTATTTTCACTGTGTGCTGTATGTAAAATGAGTATTACCTTGTCTTTATTTGAAAAAATATGATTAATGCACACAAACTTCCCAGAATACTGAGTGCCCTGTTGGTTACGGTGTTTACTTCCTTTTTAATTATATTTTTATTAAATATTTATTTATTTGTGAAAAATACTTTGCGCTTTATGCATTTTCCTACTGTCATATTCACGTTATTTTCACTGTGTGCTGTATGTAAAATGAGTATTACCTTGTCTTTATTTGAAAAAATATGATTAATGCACACAAACTTCCCAGAATACTGAGTGCCCTGTTGGTTACGGTGTTTACTTCCTTTTTAATTATATTTTTATTAAATATTTATTTATATGTGAAAATACTTTGTCATCTAAAGTATAAGTATGTATATTTAACACATTTATTTTTTAATACATTTTCAAATTATTTAAAATTTCTTAAATAATTAAAATACATAAAATTATGTTGGCTTTATATCGGCCATCGGCCACCCTGCTTTCCAAGATATCGGCATCGGCTGTCAAAAAACCAATATCGGTCGACCACTAGTTGTAATTCTGGGAATCTTTTTATTTGACTCTCAAGTTTTTGGAGGATGAAAGGGTGCCCATCCTCCCTCATGCCCACTGCAACGTCGCTCCGTGACATTGTGTATGTTTGTATCCATTTGTGTTGTTGCTAGTCTTAAATCCAGCAGCTCAGCACACAAGTTGGAGTCAGAAGTTGGAAACGGGTCAGTTTATCAGCCGCGTGTGGATGTGTGTTTGACTGTGTGCCTTGCGGCTCTGTGTGACTAATACACTAATATCAGCAGTGTTTCTTTTATGAGACCACCACCAATCTGTCTAGCACTGGGAAAAGCAGCACGGGATTCAGAGCACACAATAAGAGCTCCGCCAATCTCTTTTACACAGTTTAATCAGAGACTAAACTGTACTTTAGGGTGTACTGTAATATGTTTTCTTCTCATCTGTGTGATGGGCAGGTCTTCATTAGTGATTCCCGCTCTCTCTGAGGTGTTTCTGCAGGCTTTTGTGCAAAAAAAAAAAAAAACCCTCACAGGCATAAAGCTTCTGCATATCTCTATGAATATATGCTTGGGGCCGGCTGATGAAGTGCTTTCTGAAGGTTATTGTGTGGAGTACTGGTGTGTTTGGGGCCGTTTAAGGGGCAGTTAGCACGGTGAGTGAGTGGCTCTCAGGAAAGAAATTAGCTCCATGTTAGCTGCTCTCACTCCATTCCTCAGAGCTGTTGTTTTATGGTTCTTGTGATATTTTTGCACACACAAATTTGCACTTGTGTCGCTCGAGGTGTGAGGCACATGTCAAAAGTGCTAAGCAGGGGGAGAGGAAGTGATGTAATGGTTCATCAATGCAGCAAGGTTGAGCGCTCATATGGTTGATTATTGAAGAGACACATTGATGTGCACATCTTTGATCTGTGTGTTTAAAGCAGCAAGTCAACCAAAAATGAAAATTCATGTACTCGCCCCCACGTTGTTCCAAACATGTATCACTTCATCATCTTTCTGCTGTGAAACACAATAGGAGAAATAAATATGTGGCACTATATTTCAAGCCTTCAGAAGCAACACTATTTAAAAAACAAAAAATTAATTTTCTTTCTTTCTTTCTTTCTTTCTTTCTTTCATTCAAACAGGTGTTTTACCTGTATTTTGAATTTTGCACTGTATTATGTTGTGTTTTAGAGTTAACGGAAATGTTTGTAAAATGAATGGATAATGTTCCGGCAGATAATTACAGTATATTTTCTGTATTTAAAAAAAAAAACAGTATTATTATTATTATTATTATTATTATTATTATTAGATGTTCAAAATGTGCTTAAAAAATCTACTTAATTTTTTTTACCAATCATTATCTTTATTTATTTATTGTACAAATTACTATTACATTTGAAACCTTTTTAAATTATTTATAAATAAATATTTATACTACAATAATATAAAATATGTAATATTTTATTGTCAATGATGATAATAATAATAATAATAATAATAATAGTAATAATAATATTTATGTTAAGCTGTTTGTTAAATAATGGTCAATTATTTCTTTAAATATATATTTTGGTATTGTTAACATCTCTATTGCTGCACTATTTACAGTAACTAAGATCTCTAATAGGTGGTCTGACTCCTTA